AGTGTGTTGCTGCTGATCTGAAAGTGTATTCATATGATGCAAGTGGGTATCATTTTGTCATCAGAGTGACATTTTGACAAAGGATTGTTAGGTTTTGATAGCAGAGTTTCAATTTGACATAGATGTGAATGGTTTATTTCCCAGTGTTGTGTGTTATTTGCTTGTGTGTAGAGTTTTGACACAATGAGCCAAATTTAGCAAAACGTGTGTAAGCAATAGGCAAAAACTGTAATACCATCTTAATGTTTGCATGAGTCTGACTCAATAATAATCCAGTTTTCTGCTGTTGTTGCTTAGTTGGGTTTACAGCCTGGTTAGTCATGTGACTGCAGCAGTTTATATTGTTTAATGATTCATTTTATTTACTGGGCATGAATTACTCAGACAAAACACCCGAACACACCAAACAATCCTTTTTTTTTTTTGCTATTCATAATTAATATTAAATACATTTATGTTTTATTTTTATGTTTATAATTTTATGAATGATATGCATGTGACTTAATTTATACAATTATGCGTAAAACATTTATTATTTTTAATTATATTAATTTCGCAGGAATTTTACAATAAAAATAAAACACAAATGCTAATTTTCGTTTACTTAGTTATTTATTGTTTGCATATTTAACCTATATAAAAGTAAATGCTTGATGCATTAAAACCTCTTGAAATTCTGAGTAATAATTTTGTGATGTTTTTACTGCATGTTTGGGTTTCGTTCGGCATAAATATGGTATCACACACTCACACACACTGACCATCGCAGCTTCCAGAGAACTGTGGAAGAATGTTTCACACAAACAAGACTCGACAGGCGCTTGAGAAGTGCCACTGAGCGCAGTAAACACACACATGACCTCTTATCTGATGCCTGTCATAAATCACCATCAAACAAACTCCCTTCTGTTTCATGCACTTTAGTCACACTCAGCAGCTTCTCTTTAGGGGTCACTTCATGATAGTTTTACCTGAAAGAAAAACCTGACAGTAGAAAACAAGCATTTAATGCAGCTTTAGCTCAGCTTGCAGCAATGCTGTGAATGAAACGTGCACTTTAAAGCATTTAAGTGACAGCGTCATGAAGCATCATGCATTGAATTCAGCTGTCAGGCATAGTGGCAGATCGAGGCCGCGGGCGAAGCCGCCAGTGACTTCAATGGCGTTTCCAGCTTTCTTTCGGGCTCGGCTTATCGAAAAACATTCTTGACCTGAATAATTTCTGTGTCGGTAATCTAAGCCATGACAAAAGAGATTTTAGCAGTGTACGAGTCACGGTCAAACTGACAAAAGCACCTGATGTTTACCGTGCGCATAGTTGAAAACTGAAAGTACAACAGAGTACACCTGAAATACGCCTGAAGTATGTTATGCGATACACAAATTAATTCTTTTAACATTTGTCACTTTTGTTGAGACCTCATAAAAACACGGCGGTAAAAGGATTCCGGAGTGAAACTGCTCTATTTAGTAACTGGTAATCAAGTCATCTTGGATTGGATTCTAGTGTATAGGATAAATTCAGTTCAAGACCATCAGATTAACCATCTCAGATGACTTTAATTCCAGGGTAGTTTAAAGTGTTTTCGAGCTCATAAACTCTTTTCCGACTGCTTTCCGCAGCTCTCACAGGTATTGAATGATGAGCGTGAGATTATCCAGTTCAAAGACTGTTTACTGCTTATGATGGTTCTCAGTTTCTGTCTTGTTCAGCTGCGCCTATTTGCATGTGGACCCAAAATTCAAATGCAGTGCGTGTGTATTTGAATGCCGGACCTCTAAAAAACAGTCGCTTTGTGCTCTAAATGCAAAACTAAACCTGCTGTGAAAAATGCAGTGAAGTTCAAGCAAAGGTCAAACTGCATCGTTTGGAAATTCTAGGTCTGAAAAATCAAACAGCAGCACACAAATGGGCATTTAAAGAACTTAAACTAAACCTAATTGTATCTGCATTCATATTTAAATGTGTAAAAGTAATGTTATTTTGATAACTTAAGGAGAACTGACTTTATACATCCCAAAAAAAACAAAAAAACAAAATACCATCCAAGACTTCAAGCATGATGGAGAAACGTGTTGGAATTCATTTTTAAAAAAACAGCTGAATCATTCTGTTGATTTGCCGTGAAATTTGACCTGCATTTTTAACCTGTTTATGCATCCGAGATGCGTAAAAATAGCATTCATCCTGCATTCTGCTGCATGTTTGTTTTGAACTTCGCATGAAAGAGTCGCGTTTCAACACATCTGTGATCTCTGATAAGGAGACTTGAGCAAATTGAGCAATTATAAAGTAAATGTTGAAATAAGGTTCGGTGGAACATTGTTCAGGAGGGTGAGGCACAAATGCAAGATGAAAGACTTTTAATCAGAAATTTTATTTTTTAGAAAATACGAATACAAAAACTAGCAAATAAATGCCATACATAATAGTTATAACATCTGAGAGGCAAACCTCATACACATTATCCAGTGACTTGACAAATCACAGAAAAATTGAGAAATTGATAAATCTGATTTGTACTCGATTGACAAGTATTACAAAGAATATATAGTTTACACATACATTTATATACAGTAGAACAAATATCAATCAGCACAGCAGATATGAACGTTACAGACACTTCATACCACCGACGTGTTCTTCCGTTAATCTGCTCTGACAAATGGTTTGACAAATATACCTACACACGAAACTTCAATTCCCAATACCAAAGAGCCTTAACAAAGCTTTACATTCTCTAACAGTTCAACCATTGTGTAGAACAAGTGTTTACATAGAGTCTTTAAGTGATGCAGCAATACTATCTGATCCAGGCCACGCCCGCGTGCCGCTCGAACCAGACATACACAACTTTTACCGGTTCATAAAACCTACTTTAGCCAAAACTCTGGCTTACAGTTTCTGTGAAACCTTTTCCCTCTGGGAAGAGCGTGTTTCTAAAGAGAGGATCTTCAGAGCAGCCTAAAGTTCCTCATTTGCAGGAGTACAAAGTCTCTAGGTTTGACTGACAGGTCCACTTCAATATCCGGTCTCCTCCATTCTCCAACCGGTGGAGTTCTTCCCGAACTTGTAGACGAGTCTGCGTCCATCAACTCTCTCCAGAATCTCTCGTTTGTAGTAATACTTCTGCCCCCAGAGCTGAGCAACAGCTTCGGACTTCAAGAACTTGAAGACGCCATCCCTGCGGTCCTCCCATTTCATCAGACCTTGGTTCTTCTCCGGGTGGATCAGGATGTCCCGGATAAACTCCCACAGGTGGGTTCCTCTTGGAGCTGCAATGGAGCAGTAGAGTCTAGTTTAGTACGGATTATCGTTACTTGATCTTGAGCATTAGGTACCTCTTCAACTAGAGTTCTGTGTACTCACCGTGTTTGCTTTTTTTGGACTGAATGAAATGGTCAAATCCCTCACTTTGGCACTTTGGGGGTCGTCCTCTGCCTCTCTTTTTGGGCTCTCCGGACTCTTGTTTCACAAAGTTCTCTGTGGAAAAGAACGCAGTCAAACGTTAGATGGGTCTATTTAGGTACTCCCTACTTTATTATTCCATTTAAACCTGCTGCTTATGGGCCACCACCTTGCAGAGTTAGGTTTCAACCTGCCTGTAACTGCCAAGTAAAGACCTTGATTAGCTGGTTCAGGTGTGTTTGACTGAGGTTGAATCTAGCTTCTGCAGGTAGGTAAACCTCTAGGATCAGAATTGGAGGAACTTACTAGTGCTGGTGGAGTAATGCATCTCTGAGTATTCTGGGTCGGAGTCGCTGCTGTTGGACTCGGGTGAGCTTGGGTTCAGGAAGCTACCTGTAGAGGACATACCAAAGAAAAGAGCGTTCAGACTTCAAGAGAACTTTGGGATGCTTGGCCTTAACGGATTAGCAGAGTTCTGTGGCGACACGCACCAGTGTGGGAACTCTGAAAGCTCTCAGTTAGAGAGTCGTAGCCGTGGTCGCTCTCTGGAGTCAGCTGGTTGGTGTACTCATCAAAGTAGCTGTAGTTGTTCTCCGAATTGTCTGCGCAAAGAGAATTCCAAATGTTATTTCAAGTACCGATGGTTGGACATTGCTTTCAATGGTTTGTGTTGAAAAGTTGCAAAGTGGGATTTGCTTCTCACCTGATGGAATTGAGGGCTGGACCACCACCGTTTCCAGAAGTGGACCGAGGCTCGGTCCATGCATGTAGGGAAACGAGTTCTGCAGTATGTTGTCCAGTAAGTCTAATTCGGATTCACTCAGACATGTCTCAGACAGGTCAGTAGCTGTAGACACAAACAAATCAAGGGTGTTAATGCATTCAAGTACCGAAACTTCAAAGGCTTCTTCAAACAAGTTCCGTCTTTGTTGCTCACCATATCTGGCCTTTTGGGTCTCCAGGCTGTGGTGAAGCCGTTCACCAAGCATCGATCCGAACATGCTCATCAAAGTTTCTTTTGACATTGTGCACAGTGTGATCCCGTCCATGTCGCAGTAGTTCATATTCAGCAGACTGGCATCGAACCTGCTGTCCTCCACGTGAAAGCCGATCCACTCCAGAACGTTCTGCCTGGTCCACATCTGTGGGTTCACCAGGTCCCAGAGGCCTGCCGGAGAATGGGTTCAAAGTATGTTTAGCCTCATTCACACCTGAGATCACCCAAACCACCCCCCGGTGTAGATGCCCCTAACAATAGAAGAATACCCGCTCAGGTTTACTGTCTCCAGGGCCTGAGCTACTGTTGTGTGTTTAACTATCTGTTGTGTTGACACCCCGTAGGTTTTGATCACAGTGTCAACAATGACTGCTTTGCCCGAAAGACCATAAAGAAAGCATTCCTTCCCGCCTACTGCGGGCCAAGTTAAACATTGCCTCAGTTAATAATTTTAAGAGTCAGAAACTGAGGTCAGACTTCAGGGATATGAGATTATCGTTGTGTCTGGGCTCTCGGTTGGGTGATGGGAACCATCCCAAGCAGGCAAAAACCATACAGATATCAAGAGCTACCTCTAATTTATTCTTAAGTAAGCGGTATGATGATGAAGGCTTACCCATTGTGCTGTTGTTGTTACTGCTGAAGGTCATCTCTGAGAGTCTGCCCATCGGCGCTGTCATGCTCAACAAGTTGGGCTGCGGTTCAGATGGGTACAGGTTGGCATTTGCGTTGTTGAGAATAAGACTAAGTTCGCTTGACGCCATGAGAATTCTGCAAGATAAGAAACCACATCAATTGAACTTCATCCAAAACTGCAAATCAGAAGTATGTTCTTATTTAAAAAAAAAAAAAACTTGCTTGGAAGGTAATGATTTAAAAGGCAAATTATTTACCAGTTGTGGTGGATAAAGGCAGCTTGGTTTCTATATAAAATCCCAGTGCAAGTGTTAGTTAGGTAATAATCCAGTCAGTAAGGTTTTGTCTTCAGCACTTTGAGGTTCACTGTTCAGAATCTCAGAAGGTTTGCTTATGCACCTGCTGCTGCTGATGAATTTATAGGGCAAGAACGGGCAAAGAGGGGGCGTGGCCAGGTGAGATGCATGAGGGGGCGTGGCCAGGTGAGCATATTCTCCTGGGAGGGGGAATTCCAGCGAATATCTCTCTCGCTCTCGCTCGCACGGCCACTCTCCCCTTTTGTTTCTTTCCTGAGAATAGCTTTTCAGACCTTGAAACATTAACTTGAAACATGACAAGGCAGCTAACATACATTCAGAGATAAACGCGAGCAAATACTATGTCACCTGTGCTCTTTTTTCATGACAACACACACACATTAACCCATTCTCTCAACTATTCCCAGAGGGATGAAGTCATTTCTGCCAATATTTAACGTTGACACAAATGTGTGTGTGTGTGTAACTTTATAACAGGTTTCGGTTTGCTGCAGGACTGACTGGTGTTTCTCTGTGTGTGTGTGTGTGTCTGTGTTTTGGGTCTTCATACATGGCTGAGTGCTTTTGTACTAGATGTAGGTGATGGTAAACACCATTCTGTTGTTGTGGATGAAGCTTATAATGACAGCGAGTGATGTAAGCATTTCAACCTCAAGTCTGAAGCGATTCATATGAGCAGAATGTGTTTGCATTCTTTTTGTGTACCATTGTAAAGTAAATACCACCATATATGAACAGAAGTCATTAATTACCATGCATTTCCGTTTCAATTTTTATGCACTTTGCTAGCCCACGGTACTAAAAATAGCAGTTAATCATGTGATCCAGATTTAGATGTTTGCATGTTATTCTCTTCACATTTTTCCTCCTCTCATAACTGCAGCTACTTTTCCGTTTCTTGTTGACGCCACGCTGATGATTGATGAAGGAAAGACGTCTTGGAATGAAATTAACAGGTTCTGGTGAAGATAAATTATTCTTGAGACCGCAAGACTTTCCAAATGCGGAGCCGTCTGTCACCCCATCACCCACCTGTCGCTCTCTCTACCTGTCTTGCATCATGTCGATTAAACACTCAATAGAGAAGAAAATGCGAACCCATCCATCAGTCATGAGTATATGTAGGTTTGTCTGTAAGATCATAAATAAATACAATCACCTGCGTGGGAGAGAGAGAACAACAACATTGGATCAGTATTATAAAGGTCATATTTTAAAAGGTCAAACTTAACACACGTTTTTAACAGCATTTCGCAAAGGTATTCATCTCCTGAGGTCATGATGAGCTATACTTTTGATTATAAAGAACTAAATCGGATGAAATCTCTTTACGTCACTACTTGCCATTAAATAAATGATTCATAATTAAAGCTCAAAGTCAGTCTGAAGCCATTATGACTAACTTCATATAAAAAAAGCCTTTAAATTTCACATAGAAATTTCCAAATGTTGTCGGTAATGGGTTGGACAGGGTTCAGTTTGTGTTGTAATCATAATTAGATAATTAGCTTAAATTAAAACAATAGAAGTCAATGGGAAGTCCCAGTCGTGATGGCAAACACTAGTCCGTGTGTGTTTCGCTCGGCTTGGGGTCTGTTATATATTCACCACATCAAGTTAAGCATGAAGGTCAGTGTGATGGCGAGGAATTCCTTCTGTCGACTTCCCAACATTATTAACTGCTCCAGACTCCATTAATAGGCTAGTTAATGAAGTTAATGAGAGCTGCACACAGTCTGACTCCATTAGTGTGAAACTCCTGCCACCATGCGGAGAACTGGAGGTACTGCAACTACATCAAATTGCTGGACACAAAGTAGGCTACCATACACTTCACGTTCCTTGCTATTTTTACACTTGCAAAAAGTACCAGGAAGTATCAATGGTTTGTTTTATTAGCATTATCATAATATTCTTGGAAATACCCTGCAATGCCATGTAAATACCATGGTAAATGTATTTAGGTATTATGGTAAAGAACATTTTGGAGAAAAAAAATACAGTTTACAGTTTACATTCACTTGATTCTTAATACTGTGTTGTTAGCTGAATGATCCACAGCTGTGTTTTGTTTAGTGATGGTTGTTCATGCGTCCCTTGTTTGTCCTGAACAGTTAAACTGTCTGCTGTTCTTCAGACAAATCCTTCAGCTCCCACTAATTCTTTGATTTTCCAGCATTTTTGTGTATTTGAACCCTTTCCAACAATGACTGTATGATTTACACTGAGGACAACTGAGGGACTCATATGCAACTATTACAGAAGCTACAAACGCTCGCTGATGCTCCAGAAGGAGAAACCATGCATTAAGAGCCGGGGGGTGAAAACTTTTGAACAGAATGGAGATGGGTACGTTTCCCAATGAAAACTCTCTTCTATTTGAGCTTCTTCGTCGTCTAGATTCCAGCTCTGGAAGTTCACGAGGTGCATCATGGGAGGCTCTTCACACGAGGCCTTTGCCTTTGCTTCAACTGAAACATTTTTTGACGTGAGAAAGAAGCGTCTAAATGTTTGCCTCGCAGTGCATGTAGGATATATGTCCTGTGTAAGATCTGTCGTCTCTGTGGCCAGGAGGTCTTTTAATAGAACAGGCCGACAGCTGCACACACACACACACACACACACACACACACACACTCCAGTGCTGTTATAAATACTGAGGTGTGTGTGTGTGTGTGTGTGTTCAGTTCTAGAGATGGCCGACAGAAAGAGCAGCAGCAGCGGAGGCGCCAGCTCTCGTCTGACCGTGAGGAGGAAAGAGAGAGCAGAAAATGAGGCCAAGAAAGAGGAGAAACCTCCTAAAGAAGGAGAGAAAGCCGAGGTGAACGGGACAATCGTGCCGGTGGAGAACGGAGAGGCCGCCACCGGAGATGGAGCCACAGCGAACGGAGAGAACGCAGAGAAACCGGAGCCCATGGAGCTGCCGCCGTTTGAGATCATCACCGGGTGAGTCAGAAAAATCCTCAGACGAGAGCCTTCTCATCATTTACAGTACTTTCCAAACCTGGCCGGCTTTCCTTCTTCTGCGGAACACAAGAGATGTATGACCTTCAGACCTTCTGATTACTTGTGCATCATAAATCATAAAACAGCTTTGTTTGAGGAACAGACCCAACTCATAAGTCATACTTCTGCACTCAAACATAATAAATCACGTGGGATCATTGACGACTTCTAGCGGAATATATTAATCATTAAAAACAAAAACAAATCATGAGATTTAAGGGAATGAAACCATAATTGAGAGTCTGTTCCACACACAAAGTTTAATCAACAGTCTTCAAAGTAAATGTTCTTCAAATGTTCTTCATTGGCATCAGTGGTTCCACTAAGAACCTTTAACATCCAACCTGTCCATTGGACAAAAGGTCCTTTATAGTGGAAAAAGTGCTTTTTTTGTTTATGTTAAGAAAAAAAGTGGTTCTTTTAAGAACTGTTCAGGTTCTTTAAAACACTTTACACTTTACTTTAAGGTGTCCTTGTTACAGTGCAATTATACAGTACTGAGTAATTTTACTGTACTTACTATATGGTTAGGTTTAGCATGTAATTATGCATAATCAATTGTTGTTATAATAGTAAGTACATGTAATGTGTAACAAGGACACCGTAAAATAAAGTGTTGGTTCAATGGCTCTTCTATGGCATTGTTTATAGAGTGAGAAACGTTCCACGGAAGAGAGAAAGTCATATGGGTTTGTAATGATACGAGGGTGTGTAAATGATGACGGATGTTTCAGTTTCAATTAAATTAAGCCTGATAAGAATCTTCTGGAGAAATGCAGACTTCTGAAAGTGTGTTTTCACAGTGATTCCATAGAAGAACCGCTTTTGGTTGCCCAAAGAACCATTAAACGAACCATTTTCCTTGAGCATTTTAGCTCCTTTTTCCACTTTGAAGAACCTTTTGTACAATGGAAAGCTCCATGTTCTTTATGGAACCATTTTAGCTCAATTTCCCACTATAAAGAACCTTTTTTGCAATGGAAAGCTCCATGGATGTTCTTTATGGAACCATTTTAGCTCAATTTCCCACTATAAAGAACCTTTTTTACAATGGATGTTCTTTATGGAACCATTTAAGCTCAATTTCCCACTATAAAGAACCTTTTGTGCAATGGAAAGTTCCATGGATGTTCTTTATGGAACCATTTTAGCTCAATTTCCCACTATAAAGAACCTTTTTTGCAATGGAAAGCTCCATGGATGTTTTTCATGGAAGCACTGATGCCAAAAAGTTTTATTTTTAAGAGCATAAATCGTGTTTCTCCATGGGTGCATCTGTGAATCTATTGGGGAATGTGTGAACTGAACGCAGATAAATCCAACCAACCCCCACCAAGGTCAGTCCTGACAGGCCGTGATGTGTCTCGCTGTGTGTCGTCTAAAGAACATGCTCTTAAAAATAACATCAGAACATCCATATGCTGCTTTAAAGAACCTGAAACATCAAGAACGTTGTAAGTGTCCAGAGGAACCAACTCGAGAACTCTAAACGGTCAGAAATGGTTCTTGAGAAGAAGACGATTCCTGACTGACCCTAAAGTACCTTTTTGAGGAAGTCAATCAGATTGGAGCTGGAATTACATCTCATTTAGGTGTCAGTTTCCTCTTAGATGCTTCTCCTAAAACTCCCAAACAGAAATAAAACTGCCCAGTCATCATCCAGAGTCTAGAGCTATGAAATGAAAGTGGAGCCGCTTGATGAGAAATGTTTGAGTTCTTACTGAGATCTCTGAATTATGATTGATTGGTGTCTTGGAAATATTGTTTGACATCTGACGTTTATGAATGCAAACGTGCTTGATAACCCATCGCTGATGAGTTTGATTCTGTCGACACATTAAAGCTGTGAATTGTTGTGGATCATCTCGTAGCAGGTGCTTGTTGAATCAGGTTCATCTGGCAGCAAACGCACACAATGCCTCCAAACCGTGGGTTCTGTATATGGGTCAGAGTCCAAGAATAAAGTTCTGCCCCCGTCAAAGGGTATTTATAACCCCAACAGCCCTTCCATCTGTCAGCCGGTGAAGGAGCTGTTAAAAACAACCACAGAAAC